TTCCAACACTTATTGACAACATTTCAAGAAAAAGACACCTCAATGATAACATTTCAACTTCCAACACTTCATGACAACATTTCAAGGAAAAAACACATTAATGACAACATTTCAACTTCCAACACTTCATGACAACATTTCAACTTCCAACAATTCTCATTTATCATCTTCATCTATTATAAAAGCTTATATTGATGAGTTTGCTAAAATCATAAAAGTCAATTTTCAAAAATTGGAAGGAAGCGTCAGTTCCGGACGTAGAGATGATTGTAGATGAAAATGCTCGGTTTGAAGAATTTCTGGCTTGTCATCGACAAATCAAGAATAAAGAAGCTCATATTGCACTTCGATATGCATTAATTGATCATTTGTGGGATAACTATACTAGTTCGGAGACTTAGAATTTTATCAATATGGACTGTGTCATTGTGTTTTATTTTATGTTAAATGTAATGCCTTTTATTTTTATTTTTTTTTGCTTGCAAGTGTGATGTTTTTTTTTTGTGATGTTAAATGTAATCTTTAGTTGAATTTATGAAAGTAATATTTTAATTTGATTTAGCATTTATTTTTTATATTTTTATTTTATTCATAAAATATATTATTATAATTAATTATATGTAATATATTATATAATTATATAATTATATAATTTGTTAAATATTTTAAAATAGATAAAAATGTTAAAAGATAAGAATAATAAAAGGAATATTTTTTTGGTGTAAAATTTGGTATAATGGGTTGGAGATGGAATAGTGATTTGGTGTAAAAACTACACCAACTTGATGTAAAAACTACATCATTTTGGGTTGTTGGGTTGGAGATGCTCTAACTTACCCAGCCACCAAAGAACTTTAAGTCGAGGTCTCGAGAAATGAGCATGTCTTGTTGTCTGAACTGTCCTTTTCTCAGGTTGAATTTTGAAACTATGCTACTTGACATATCGTAACTTCAAGAAATTTCCATTGTATATTTAGCAAATTCAGGGCTGCAATTTTGGTGAGCTCAATTGGATTGGACTAATCCAATCAAACTCCATTTGAAGTTGGTAAAGAACTTTGAGAATGATTTGGCTGGATAATCGACTGAATTTTAAAGCACAAGAGCGATTGCCCCACCCAATAGGGGTATGTTATATATTAGTTAGTGTAGTCCTCTGTCTTAATCATGTAGGAAGTATGTACAGATATAACATATATCACTTATGCAGCATCTACGTGCATGGTTTATATGTTATTAATATCTATATTAATTTCAGCCCTCTAACCACAGTTATATACTTGCTTGTAATTCCAATTTAAACTGGTTCATATGGTGTTAGAACTCCGAATTCTCATGCCCCACCTCCTTCAGGGGCACAAATTTATCTTGCATGCATGAAATGTTGCTTGGTTACATATGATGAAAATATGAGAGTAACAAAATAAATGTAGCTGCAGTAAAATCAACTATGGCAGTGAACTCCCTCAACCACAGGGAATGAACTTTGGTTAGATTCTGCAGACTTTCATGTAAGTCTCCTCTCCGATAAAGATACTTGTTTCGTTGATTGTGCACTTAGTTTTCTCTCTCTCTCTCACACGTCGTGTTTATGCTTGTACAGGTCTTGCTTCTCTGTACCCTCAGAGATGTAAGGCTTTGTGTGGATCACCCTGTAGATGTCGAGAATAAGATGAAGGACTATACATTCAGGTTTACCAAACTGCTATGACTATAAATTCAGGTTTACATAGACTTCATGTATGTTTATTACAGCCGTATGAGATAGGAAAGAACAGTGGTTCCTCTCCCTCTCTACCTATGTGTGTATGTATTTACCCTTTTTTTTTTTTTTTTTGGGGGAGGGGGGGGGGGGGGTTCTTGGCTCTCTTTGTCGCTTAGTCTCCGTTTTCACTTTGATGCATGCATTTAGTTACAGTTAAGAGACTAGGACTACAGTTTACATCCATTTGATCAATGCCTTAGTAGATCATTCTTGGTTAAGCTAAGGACTTTTGTTGCAATGCAGGGAGTTTGAGATGGTATCAAAGAATTCCATATTTGAATTTAAGTCCTCACATATAATTCCAGATTTGAATTCCACTACTCCCTTAGATCCCATCAGTCACACATTTAAATACAACTGTGATCTGTCTAGATTTACAGTTGTGTTTTGTCTAAATTCCAATCCGTGAAAACGATGTGCAACCTATGGGACATGTTACACCAGAACATTATATAACTCTCATTCCTTATCACAACTTAGGAGTTTTGGTGCAGTGGTAGAGCATTAAGTGTTATTAGCAAGATGTATGAATTGATATAAACAGCAATAACATGTCAACAACAAAGCATCGCAAACTTTATATTATAATTTGGGCAACTGTTTTCAACTGAAAAATGATAAAATTCTCATGTGAGTAAATTCGCATGCGATACTCACATGCCAATGTTACTCTTAAAGTCCCTAAGATTACACCAAAACTCCAAAAGGATTGAGGGTTATGTCTTTAAATTCTAACAGTTAAAACATTTTAGCCATTAACTTTTTGGGTTAACAGTACTCTTAAATCTATCAATATCCTATTCTCTTAGCATGTGATCGTCACATAAGAATTTTTGAGGAAATTCTCGTTTTTGCATATGAAGGGTATCAAAGTGCAACTTTTAGAAACTTTAGGGTATTTAAGTACAACCAAATATAAATAAGGAGTATATAGGTGCAAAGTAGGTGAAACTAGACTATAGACTATAGGGAATTTATAAATGCAGTTAAACGAGGGGGGCTAATTATTTTTTATAAATGAAATTAAATTATTTTTAACCTCTTATGATGGGTTATATGAGATTATCTAAATTAACTGTCCTCCTGAACCCTATTCTTTGAACCCTTTGCAAGGCGCCGAACATTGTTGACTAAAAAACGCCTCCGGTTGGCTTTGCTCTCTGCCCCCCCCCCCCCCCCCGCCCCGGAATTCCGGAGTCGGTACGCTATTAGATCTGATGGACTGGCCTCACAAACCACCATGTGTCTTTTCAGCACGTTTTGTCCTCACTCACGCACTCCCTAAAAAATTTCCCAATGGGTCACCCATCCTAGAATTTTTCCAGACCATGCACGCTTAACTTTAGAGTTTCTAAGAGTTGGGTTCCCGAAAAGAAGATGCATCTTGGTGGTATGAGTATTCCAATCAAATCTATCAATACTAATCACATCACCCTCTCAAGAGTTGGGGTATTACAAACTCCCCCACTTAAACTTGTAACGTCCTTGTTGCGCCAAATCATATCATCCAAGACCGTACCATCCGTGTGAGATTCTAAAGGTGGCTGACCCCTTGGGAAGTTTTTCAGGGAGCGCGTGAGTGAGGACAAAACGTGCTGAAAAGACATATGGTGGTTTGTGAGGCCAGTCCATCAGATCTAATAGCGTACCGACTCCGGAATTTCGGGGCGGGACATTACAGTCTCAGTTCGAACAATGGATGTGTAGTCAAGGTTTTAAATATCAGTAGTCGGGGATCGGACGACCAAAATCCTTATCGGATAGCAAAAATCGGGGATATATCGGGAATAAGTAGTATTTATCGGAATGATATACTGGATGGTGTATATATAATATAATAACTAAAAATGTAATCTAATCATGCTTAATAAAATATAAACATACCAAAATGTAAATTATTCAACAATTTCTTCTTTCAGGTCACTGACTTGAGATCTAAGTGCGTGCGTGAACTGTTAAGGAATTACAAGAGAAGGAAAGCTCACAGCATGTGTATATATAGCCATGTTTCCAGACAAAAATCTTTTTAACTTATGGGGAAATCCAGAACTTCACAGAAATTCTTATAGAAAAGATTAAAAACAGAAGTTAAAAACTCAACAAAAAACAAAAATCAAGTAAATCCTGCTGGAGATAATTCACAGAGTAGATAATTCACAGAGATTCTTCACAACAAGTCTCCCAAGTAAATAATATTTGTTCAAAGAACAACAAAAATCAACTTAAAAAAAACAGAAACAGTTTGAAGGCTAAAAGAAATGATACATGTTCAAGTAAATCCTAAAACCCGCTGGAGTTCGAAGGCGAGGCGAGCGAAGTTCACGGAGATTCACAAAGGCAAGGCGAGTGACGAGGTTCACAAAGGCGGAAGGCGAGGTGAGCGACGAGGTTGACAGAGGGTAGGCGAGCGACGAAGTTCAAGGTTTGAAGTTCACGAAGGCGAGCGATGAAGAGGCGCAAAGAACATGAGATGGAGATAATGAAGGAAGAGGAAGAGCCCTATGAGAAAAGGAGCAGCCGCCAGAGACGAAGTTTAGGGTGTGAAGGTCGGATTCACGAAGTTTCGGGTTTTAAGTTTTATTTTATTAACAAAACGGGTCGGGTCGGGTTTAAAACTCAACAATCCAACTCAAAATGTCCGGCCGATAATCCCGATAATTTAAGCCTTACTTATCGGCCAATTAGCGCCGATAACTCGGAACTCTCCGAAATGATAACCGATTACAAAACCAACTTATCCTAGCGGAGTCTGATAACTCGGCCAATAATATCGATTATCGGTTGATATTTAAAACAATGTGTGTAGTAGTAGCTATACCTGCGGAGTCCTTGGAGGAGTAGAAGACCGTAGCATGAGTCACTAAAGAAGACTCTACTTTCGTTAGCCGTTGATAACGTTGCCAGCGGCAGCAAGGCCTTTTCAATAATGTGAACTCGAACCAATCTTTTTCATTTTCAATAATGTGATCTCGAACCAATCTTGCTCTTCTTCTAACAATGTATTTGGGTCTCCTCATCAAATTATGGCAATAAAAATAATGGAATCTTGTATGATATAAAACGTGCCATAAAAAAGCTCATGTTTCAGCCAGCAGTTTCACGAACAAAAATTACTACAAGGAAATTTGTCATAGCACAAATAAAAAATGTATCCACTGATCAATTAAAACAAATTCCCTCAATCCATCTGTTTGCAATTTGGATTAAAATGTTGAAATCATTAGAATCATTTATCTATGTTGGAGTTTCCAAATGTTGAACTTAAAAGTACATTAATTCCTTAGTATACACTGTTACCATTAAGTTGCATTAAAAAGGAAAAATGGTTGAAAATCTTCCACATGATAAACAAAACAACCGTTATGTTATTGCTAGGAAAACTACATAATATTCGCAAGTCCAAAAAATGTTCACCAAAAGGGCACAAGAAACTTTCTTTTGCTTGGATTGTGCCTCAGCTACGTGCTATAATTAGACCCATATAAGCATTTGAAAGGCAGAAGAGGAGAATTTAACATTCACAACTACCTGAGCCCAGAGGGTTGATAAATCATCAAGGAATTGCTCACTCTTCCATAGCATCATTCTCCAAACCCAAGTGATCTTAGTTGATAAAATCTCCGATCAATATGCATCAACATGTTGCCATTCAACAATTACGAAAACGTCCATAAATAAAAACTCGAACATTCTGTATTACAGTGGAGTACCAGAAAGGAATGAGGTTAAACTTTTTAGGTGTAAATATAAAGGTAGCAGTAGCATAAAATCTCATATTTGAACTAGTAATTTCATGAACAAAAATGACAGGAAGGCAATTTATCATATCACAAATACAAAGTTTATCTACTGATCAGTTAAAACAATTTTCCTCAATCCATTTGTTAGAAATTAGACTTCAAAAGGTGAAATCATTAGAAATCTGTGTGTATGTTGGAGTTTCAAAATGTCTACTTAAAGGACATTACTTAATATACACAGTTAAAAATAAGTTGTATTAAAAAGGGGAAATGGTTGAAAATCTTCCACGTGATTAATGAAATAACCATTAGAAAACTTCATCATATGTTATTGCTATGAAAACTACATAATATTCACAAGTACATATAAATGTTCACCTAAGGGGCACAATAAACTTTCTTTAGCTTGGATTGTCTCTCAGCTACGGACTCCCAATATCTTATTTGCACCTGAATAGAAGCTATCTCTTCCTTGAGCCGGCTGATCTTCATGTCACGTTCCAATTCTTTCTTCTTTGCTGAATCACTCTCTTCTATCTCTTTCGTTGCACACATTGGTTCACACTCTACAGCTTTCTTCGTCAACTCTTCTGTTGTGCCATTAGATCCAGGCTGTAATTCTTTGTTACTTGCTGGATCCCTTTCATCTATCACTTCTACGTCATTTGCTTCGCATCTGGATTCAAACTCCAATTCTCTCACCCTCACCTGATCCTTCTCTTCTATCTTCTTCATCTCTTCGGTTTTGTCTATTGATTCTAAATTCCTCTCTTGAGTTTCTTCTATCACTTCTATCTCTTTCATTCCTCGCATTGATTCACATTCTAAAGATTTATTCCTTGCAACTTCTGATTTGCCAATGGATTCAAGTTCCAGCTCTTTAGTACTCGTTAGATTCCTCTCTTTTTTCTTCTTCGTCTCTTCAGTTTTGCCTTCTGATTCTTGCTCCAAATCTCTCTTCTTTGCTGGAACCTTCTCTTCTGTTTCTTCTGTCTCTTCTCTCTTACGCTTTAGCTCATGATTCGACTCTTCTCTTTGGCATTTTTCTTCAGGTTTCTCTGATACTAGCAAATGATGATTGAATTCAACAGCATTTGCTTTCAAAGAACATTTCATTGTTTCATTCTCACTGGCATTTAATATCACAGTCTGGGACTCTTCTTCCAATTGTTTCTCTTTCTCTTCTTTCAATGTATCTGTTTCTGCCTGTTCATTATGAAGTTCCCCCTCATTTGTTTCCTCAATAGCTCCTGTAACTCCCTCTTTAAAGACAGAATCAGGTCTAAGGTCTTCCTTCTGTTGTTTCTCAATCCCTAATTCAACTTTGCTTCTGAGATCCAAATTTTTCTTCATTGTTTCTGAATTTTCCAAAGCACCATGAACTTCACCAGGTCTAAGAGCAGGAGAAGTCGAGAGCTCAGTTTCATTGCAACCTTGCACTTTCTTCATTTGGTCACTAGACAAATCTTGCGCTTGCTTTCTCTTCATATTCTTCTTCTTCATGTTCCTCCACCAAGTTGAGTACTCAACAGTGACATCCGCACTAAAAAACCCTGGAGACACATAAAACTTGACATTCTTCGAACTTATATCATAGGTTTTCCAAGCAGCCTCCCATGAATCATTCACACGCGGAACAAATTTGGGTATATCTTGATCCAAACCAAACTGCATTGCCACCCGATGAGGCTGATACTGTTCGATACAGTCTAACCCTACCAATGCACATGCCCTCAAACACTTAGCAAATGACAGCAAATCTTCATCATGAGTTTCGCAGCTAAAGTACCATCTACCCTCATGCTTCAATTCATCCACATAAGGCCTCCATTGAAACTCATCGGGGGACTCGAGAACCTCCATCGCTGATGAAAAATCCATCGCTTTTCCTGACATGCTCCATCTCGAAGCTCTCGGGGTATCAGGACTCATTAAACTTTTCAAATTTGGCCTTAGAGGCAAAAACCTCTCCCACAGCCACAACTGAACTATATTCATCGGCGCGCATATAGGAATCGGAGTTTTAAATTTTTTACAAAGATATTCTTTCACTTTTCCTAAGTCTCGGTATATAACAGCGAGCACCGCAGGAGCCATCGCAATCCTAGTTCCTATAGCCAATCTGACCGCAACCTGAAACACGCATTTTCTGATTGATTTCTCGTTGGCAGCAATCAGCACGAATCTCGACAACCACATGGACAAAAACGCAATGTGCTCTGTTTCGTCCCCGTTGCCTCTTCCAAGATAACGCTTCATCCATTGAAATTGCTCACCTTTAAGGTGTTTTCGCTTGAAATTGTTCAATTCTACTTCCATTTTATTCACCATGTACCCAATTACACCTCCTACGGGCTCATTAACTCTAACGGGTTCGCCGAGCACTGAAAAACCTCCAAGAGTCATGACGTCTTCAAGTGTTATAGTGGCTTCAGCCCAAGGGAAAACAAAGGTATTGGTTTGTTTGGACCAGTATCTACAAACCCCCAAAAGGGAAGGAGTATCTCTTCTAAGCTTGAACTTGGAGGCCATGATCGCATCAAAGATGCCAGCTTTTTGCCAGATATAGGAGTATTTGGGGCTGAGCTTGTCGACCCATTGGTCCCACTGGGGTTGGGGGTCGGCCCACCATCGGAAGTGAGGGTACTTGGGATCGTCTGCGACGCTGTGTCGACGGAGGGGGGAGGTTGAGGAGGTGGGGTTGAGGAACAGACCTTTGCGCTTGATGGGTTGTTGATTGCCCTTGAAGTTGACCAGCTCTGCTCTCCTTTCTTCAACGAGAGGGTAGGCTAAAGGAGCCATCGTGTTTGAGGAGAGAAGATGAAGTTGAGAATTGAGAGAGAGACAACGAGGGTTTTTTTTTAATTTTTGGTGTTTTTGGTAGTCGGAGTCGGAGGAGGATTTGGAGATCTCGTTGGAATCGGAGGGAATTGTTCCTATTGATGTTTTAGTGAGTCATTTATTGCCTGATTTTAGCAATTATGAACCCATTCTTTTTTTAATCTTTTGTACGTTTTCTATTTGGGGAAAGAAGCTGAATAACTGATTTGTATCGGACGGTTCTAAACATTTATATCCATAACTAACTAGGGGTGGGATGGGAATGAACCAAATAATTAACAAATAGTTTGATAATTGCTCAAACAACTATTCGCTCATATTCGATTCGGTGGTTCATTTACCACTAAACAAATATTTTTTAGTATTCGAGTTTACTAACGTATAGAATTTAACCATATTTATATTCGATTCGTTTGTCTATTAAATATTCATTTGAATTTTGATCACAACTTATTATTTGTATTATTGGACATGTAATGTCATATTTTTAACCCACTAATCATTTCTACTTAAATTTTATACACTGATTTTAAGACTTAAATAATCTTAAATTTGTTTTCTAATAAAAATTTTGATTTAAATATATATACATCATATATTATAAAAGAATAATTTTTATTTATAAATTCTAATACTATTTGAACAAATTCTTTAGTAGAATAAATATACTTTGATATTCAATAAGTACTCATGAATATTTATCAAATACCAAATATTCAAGTTCGTATTCGAAAAACTAGATATATGAATATTAAAGTCCGTATTCGAAATTGATAATTTTAAACAAATACAAATACGAACACATTAGTCTTCGATTTGATCGTTTACCACCCCTATCCATAACTGTTCAGAGCAAACCACCGACGCAATTAAAAATCAGTATAATATATCTAATAGGATCTAGCCAACTTGAGCAAACCACCGCGCAATTAAAAATCAGTATAATATATCTAATAGGATCTCGCCAACTTAATAAACTACCTATGTGTAGTACTGCAACTCCTACGATAATTTAATTTTGGGCTTTTTGTCTTTAGGTCCAATAGTTTACCTCCCTTTATTTTTAAACCCAAGTAGTATTAGTTGTATCTCTAAGCCCAAATTTCTTTTGTATTTGTCTTTGTAGAAACTGAAAACAGTAAATAGACACAGGATTTAACGAGGTTCAGCACCAATTTGGTGCCTACATCCTCCACACCTACACACACCCTTTTTCTATTATTTTTCAGTAGTTTGTTACAGAGACGAGAGGAGAATTTATAGGGAGATGAGAGAGATTTGTTTCCTATTACAATTATCTAAACAAGGAATATAATAACTCTGATTACAAAAGAGATTTCCCAGCTGTTGCCTTCCTTATTTGAAGATATGGTCCAGATAGGCAACGATATGGACCACTATTTATTTCAACACCCGACCTCAAGTTGGTAGGTAGACATCTACCATACCCAACTTGGCAATCGATTCTTCAAAGAACTTAGTTGACACCGCCTTTGTCAACATGTCTGCCAGCTGTTGTTCTGATCTCACAAATGGAAACGAGATGATCTTTTCTTCCAGACTCTGTTTGATGAAATGTCTATCAATCTCTATGTGCTTGGTCCTGTCATGTTGTACTGGGTTGTGGGCTATCTCAATTGCTGACTTGTTATCACAATGTAGCTGCATTTCTTCTTTTGGCCCATATTTCAATTCATTCATAAGTTTTCTCAACCACAACAACTCACATAGGCCTTTCGACATCCCTCTGAACTCTGCTTCTGCACTTGACAGCGCAACAACATTCTGCTTCTTACTCCTCCATGTGACCAGATTTCCTCCCACAAAGGTGAAGTATCCTGACATTGATTTCCGATCTATTCTGTCTCCAGCCCAATCAGCGTCCGTGTACCCCCAAACTTTCAAATGTCCATTTTTTCTAAACTGAATGCCTTTTCCTGGAGTTTTCTTTAGATACCTCAAAACTCTAATCACAGCATCCATGTGTTGTTTTCTCGGGTCATGCATAAACTGACTCACCATGCTCACAGCATATGCAATATCGGGTCTAGTATGTGATAGGTAAATGAGTTTACCTACTAATTTCTGATAAGCTTCCCGATCCACCTCCGGATCTTCTGGGTTGTCTTCAAACTTCAAGTTCGGAATTGTGGGTGTATCAGCTGGCTTACAATCTAGCATGCCCACCTCTGCAAGTAAGTCAAGTGTATACTTTCTCTGTGATAGGGATATACCTTCTTTTGAACGCAGTACCTCTATTCCCAAGAAGTACTTTAGACCGCCTAGATCCTTCATCTCAAATTCCTGCGATAACCTCTGCTCTAGCCACTGGATTTCCATAGTGTCGTCGCCTGTAATTATCATGTCATCAACATAGATAATTAAGATGGTTACCTTGCCTTGACGATGCTTGAAGAACAGAGTATGATCAGAATCACTTTGATTGTAGCAATAGCTCTTCATGGCCTTACAGAATCGCCCGAACCATGCCCGGGGGGACTGTTTTAAGCCATATAGGCTACGCTCCAACTTGCACACTAGTTTCTTGTTTTGTTGGTGGGAATACCCCGGTGGTAGGTCCATATAGATTTCCTCTTCTAAATCACCATGCAGAAATGCATTCTTCACATCAAACTGATGCAAGGGCCAGTCCAAGTTTGCTGCAAAAGATAATAAGACTCGAACTGTGTTAAGCTTTGCAACTGGAGAAAAAGTTTCCTGGAAATCTATACCATATGTCTGAGTGTACCCTTTTGCGACCAACCTTGCCTTATATCGCTCAACTTTACCTGTAGCATCATATTTCACAGAAAACACCCACTTGCAGCCGACTGTTTTCTTCTCATTTGGTAGTTCTACCAAATTCCAAGTTTTAGTGGTTTCTAGGGCTTTCATCTCAATTTCCATAGCCTCCACCCATTTGGGATCCTGCAATGCCTCTCCCACAGTGTTTGGTACTCGAATTTTCGATAATTCTTTAGTGAAAGTTTGTACTAAGTTGGACAACCCTTCAGTGCTGGTATAGTTAGATATCGCATACCCTTCTTCGCTATACCGCTTTGGTCGTACATTACGGTTAGTTCTTATAGGGTACCTTCTTTCAGTGATAAGAGAACTTATCTCAGGAGCATCTTCGGGAGAACTCAAGCATGGTATTTCTTCTGGATCCTCGTGAGGTTTTGTCACCTCTGCTTCTGGTCTTTCTTCTCCATCTACTAGTGTATGGTCTGTATCCCCTGGTGCATGGTCCGTGTCCTCTGGTATACTGACCGTATAGTCTTCTGTCCGGTCCGCGTCGCCAGATACATTTTCTGGTGCATGGACAATTTCCTCTGGTATATGGACTGTATTGATATTCTCCTGATTATCCCACCATACTTGGTGATTCGGTTCCTCTTGTATTGATACTGGGGTTGGTTGATTTTTGAAACAAGATTCACTCTCCAAGAAAGTAACATCCATTGTCACATAGATTTTTCTAGTTTCTAAGTCAAAGCATTTATACCCTTTCTGATTGTTCCCATATCCAATGAACATGCATTTAATTGCACATGGTTCTAACTTTGTTCTCTTCTCTTTTGGAACATGTACATATGCTACACAGCCAAAAATTTTTGGTGCCAAGGTCAAGATTGAAGGGATTTCCACAAACGAAGCTAGTTTTTGCAATGGAGTCAGAAATTTTAGGGTTCTTGAGGGCATTCTATTCATGAGGTATACCGCAGTAGATATAGCGTGGTTCCAAAAATTTTGAGGCACATTATTTTCAAACAATAGTGACCTTGCAATTTCTAAAATATGCCTATTTTTCCTTTCCGCCACTCCATTTTGTTGAGGAGTACCAACACAGGATGTCTCATGTACAATTCCATTGTCTCGAAAAAATTTTCTCAAGAAATTATTCACATATTCCCTCCCATTATCACTTCTAAGAATCTTAATCTTTTTCCCAAATTGTCTTTGGACGAGATTCAAAAAATCTAGAAAACATGTGACAACTTCATCCTTAGTTTTTAAGAGATATAGCCAGGTCATTCGGGTACTATCATCAGTAAACAAAACAAACCATCTTTCTCCATTAATAGAAGTAACTGGGGCTGGGCCCCACACATCAGAATGTACTAAATCACCAAATTTCAAAATTTTAAAACAGGTACTAGGATACGTGCTTCTATGACTCTTACTTTTAATACAAGTTTCACATGAAATTTCAGAGTTTGATACCTTGACCCATAATGACGGAAACATCTTTCGCATATAACCCTCAGAAGGGTGCCCTAACCTCTTATGCCATAACAAAATATTATTCGTCTGAACCCTCTGTCCAGTTAAACATGCAGAACCAACACTCAAATCTTCAAGGTGATATAGTCCATTGTGCTTAATACCACGCCCAAGTATCTCCTTCGTTAGGATGTCCTGAAAGATGCAAAATTTTGGGTACATTAGAACAGCACAATTTAAGTCTTCAGTTAATCTTCCCACTGATATTAGTCTCGTGGTCAGCGAAGGAACTAGTAATGTTTCTTTTAGACACAAAGATGAAGTAGCAGTAACATTTCCCGATCCTATAACTTGTGATTTAATCCCATTCGCACTCACAATTTCTTTTCTGTTTGATTCGTGGATTTTGTCTAGATCAGAATCTAAATAGGTCATGTGATCAGTTGCTCCCGAGTCTATTACCCATTTTTCTAGATTATGTGCAATAAAAGCATTACCTTTCTCGGCAGAACCCTCTGTACCTTCAACAAAATTGGCTAGTGTTAGAGATGTCTGTCCTGTGTTGTTTCTGTGGCCTGGGTTATTATTTGTACGGTCCGTGCTCCCATTTGCATGGTCCATGCATACCGTCTGATGAGCCTGTCCCTTCTTACTTGCTCCCTTTCTCTCCTTCAACTCATGCCACCAGTCTGGGTATCCATGCAACTGAAAACACGTCTCTCTGGTGTGCTTTGGGTTGTGACAGTGAGTGCATCCTCCTCCTTCGACCCTCTTTCCTTTTCCCTGGTTTGTTTCAGTTTTAAGAAAAAGTGATACCTCAGATGCGCGGGCTGTGTGACTACTTGTGCGGTCCGTGTTCCAGCTTGTATGGTCCGTGTTCCAGCCCGCAC